TGCCCTCGCACTCTCGATGTCCTGCCCCGTCCCCCCCCCCCCCCCCTTCGGCGGTCGTGCCGGCCCCCGCTCGGCCTGGCCCCTTCTCCTTCCGGCGCCTGCCTTGTTGGGTTTTCCCCCCCCCCCCCCCCCCCCCCCCTCCCCCACGTCCTTTCTCCCGTGCCTCTTGGTTGGTGCGCCTGAGCCTGTGTCGTTCGACAGAGGCGTTCGGCTTTCATGCCGGGCATCACTCTGTGGGGCGGTCGCTTCCCCAGGCACGCCGCGCGAGTGTGCACACCACCTCCAGCGTGCAGGCTGCTGTCGGTGTCTGTGGTAGTAGGGGTTCTTTCGCCGCCATCCATGGTGGGGAAGGCTCTCCCTGCCCGGTTCCCGGGCCCTGATTTTTACATCAGTCCGGGGAGGCACGCATGCTCCCATTTCCCCGGCGAGGCATCCTCCTCCGGGCTTGATGGGGCGAGCAGCGGCATCGACACTTGCGCACGTCTGCGGGCCATGGGCTTCCTCTGCCTCTTTCTCGCCACTGGTGTGTGTGTGTGTGTGTTTGTGTGTGACATCTGTCCGAATTTCGCCCGGGGGACTCCTTGCACGCGTGTGGAGTTGCCGGGGTGGCGGGGCGCGACTGGGCGGCACCAGCCGGGGAGGGCGGATGGGGCTGTCTCCCTCCCTCCCCCTCCCGGGCCATGCTCTTTCGTAGTCACAAACAGACGTTTCACAGTCATTCCCAGTGGTTGAGGGGGGACGGCGTGGCGGGAGGCGGCGGACAGGAACGAGGGGTGGTCCGTGTGTTTACCCCCCCTCCCGGTGGGGGGTGGCGGGGCCCCTCTTTCTTGTCTGCCCGCCTGGGGGGTCCGGCCCGGGTGACTGGCGGCCCAGCTATTTAAGTGGCTGACCCGACCTTCCAGCAGCCACTTGTTGCCAGAAAACTTTGGGCTTTCATTTCTCTCTTTGAGTGTGTCTCTCTTCCCTCCCTCTCCCTCCCTCTCCCTCCCTCTCCCTTGCTCCAGCTGCCTCCCCCACCCACTGACACCTTCTCTCTCTCTCTCTCTCCCTCTCCCTCTCCCTCTCCCTCTCCCTCCTCCCCCTCCTCCTCCCTGTGCCCCTACAGGTTGGCTGAATTTTCTATTTCACCAAAATGTCGGTCCTTGTTGCTCGCCGGCCGGCCGGCGCCCGCCGTTCCCGCGGCTCCGGCGCCTCGTCGCCCCGCCACCTGAGCGCTCTCTTCCTCTCTTTCGTCATCGCCACCCTGGCCATTCTGGCCTTCGTTTTCTCTCCCACCCCCGTCGCTGCCAAGGAGGACCTTGGCACTGTTATCGGTATTGATCTCGGCACCACCTACTCTTGCGTTGGTGTCTTCAAGAACGGCCGCGTCGAGGTCATTGCCAACGAGCAGGTTCGTACCCACCCCCTTCCGCTTCCTCCGCTTCTTCCGCTTCTTCCGCTTCTTCTGCTTCTCCCTCTTCTGCCGCGCCCGGCCGCCCGGCCCTGTCCCCCCCCCTCTCGGCCATGAGCCCAGACCGCTGACTCGTCCCTTGTCCTGGTCTTCTCCTCCCCTCTCCCCCTCCCCCCTCCGTAGGGTAACCGCATTACCCCGTCCGTCGTCGCTTTCACTGATGATGAGCGCCTGATTGGTGATGCCGCCAAGAACCAGGCCGCCATGAACCCCTCTCGCACCATCTACGACGCCAAGCGCATGATTGGCCACAAGTTCAACGACAAGGAGATCCAGGACGACCTGAAGAACTGGCCCTTCTCCGTCAAGGCTGACAAGTCCGGCAAGCCCAGCTTCCATGTCGATGTCAACGGCAAGCCCACCACCTTCGTCGCGGAGGAGGTCTCCGGCATGGTCCTCCAGAAGATGAAGGAGATCGCCGAGACCTACCTTGGTCATGAGGTCAAGAACGCCGTCGTCACTGTGCCGGCCTACTTCAACGACGCCCAGCGCCAGGCCACCAAGGATGCCGGCACCATCGCCGGTCTCAATGTCCTGCGCATCATCAACGAGCCCACCGCCGCTGCCATTGCCTACGGCCTGGACAAGAAGGGCGACGAGCGCACCATCCTCGTGTTCGATCTCGGTGGTGGTACCTTCGATGTGTCCCTGCTGTCCATTGACTCCGGCGTCTTCGAGGTGCTGGCCACCAGCGGTGACACCCACCTCGGTGGTCAGGACTTCGACCATCGCGTGATGGACCACTTCATCGACATCATCAAGAAGAAGCACGGCCGTGACATCCGCCCCGACACCCGCGCCCTGGGCAAGCTCAAGCGCGAGGTCGAGAAGGCCAAGCGTGCCCTTTCCCTGCAGCCCTCCGCTCGTCTGGAGATCGAGGCCCTGGTCGATGGTCTGGACTTCTCCGAGACCCTGTCCCGTGCCAAGTTCGAGGAGCTCAACATGGATCTCTTCCGCCGTACCCTGGAGCCGGTCCGCCGTGTTCTTGAGGATGCCGGCCTCCAGAAGTCCGACGTCGATGACATCGTCCTGGTTGGTGGTTCCACTCGTATTCCCAAGGTTGTGGAGCTGCTCGAGGGCTTCTTCGGCAGTCGCAAGGCCAGCAAGGGCATCAACCCCGATGAGGCCGTTGCCTTTGGCGCCGCCGTCCAGGGTGGTATCCTTTCCGGTGACTCGCAGGCCGACGATCTGGTCCTGGTCGATGTTTGCCCCCTGACTCTGGGCATTGAGACCACCGGTGGTGTGCTGGCCAAGCTGATCCCCCGCAACACTGCCATCCCCACCCGCAAGTCGCAGATTTTCACCACCGCCGCCGACAACCAGTCCGCCGTCCTGATCCAGGTGTTCGAGGGTGAGCGCCAGTTCACCAAGGACAACAACCTCCTGGGCAAGTTCGAGCTGACCGGCATCCCGCCGGCCATGCGTGGCATTCCCCAGATCGAGGTCACCTTCGAGATCGACGTGTCCGGCCTGCTGCGTGTGTCGGCCGTCGACAAGGGCACCGGCAACAGCCAGGAGATCACCATCACCAACGATCGCGGCCGTCTTTCCACCGCCGAGATTGAGAAGATGATCGCCGAGGCCGAGCGCTTCGCCGAGGAGGACCGCATGGCCAAGGAGCGCATCGATGCTCGCAATGGCCTCGAGTCTCAGGCTTACTCCCTGCGCGGCCAGCTGACCGACGAGGGGTCTCTCGGCAAGCTCGCCGAGGAGGACAAGAAGGCCGTCTCTGCCGCCGTCGACCAGGCCATTGCCTGGCTGGCCGAGAACCCGGAGGCCTCCACCGAGGAGTACGCCGAGGCCCGCAAGACCCTGGACACCACTGTCCAGCCGATTGTGGCCAAGATGTATGCCTCCAACGCGGGCGGTGCCGCCGGTGGTGAGCAGTTCACCAACCCCACCGACCACACTGAGCTCTAAAGGAAGGAAGAGTGTGCAGTGATGTGTGCTTTTGCGCGCGCGCGCGCGAGAAGGCCCCGAGAAATCCTCCTCTCTCTCTTTTCTCTTTCTCTCTCTCCCCTCCCCAATATACACAGATCTTCAAATCATTATTCTTCCTTGCATTTTTCTTGTGCCCTTCTCTTACTCTCCGGTGCCCGTGTGTGTGTGTGGGGCTGGGGGCTTTCTACTTCGAGGGGGGGGGGGGGGGGGGGGGGGGGGGGGCGGGGGGGCGTCGGGCATGACCCGCAAACTGGTTTCCGATCTCCGGGCCAACATCTGCCCTCCCGGCCTCCCCCCCCCCTTCCGGGGGACACCATTTGCGATTCCACCGGGACGGCCGAGCCCCAGGAAGGGGACAGGATGATCGGCGTTCCCGGCCAACCCGCCCGGCCCCCCCCCCCTGGCCCTTCGGCGCT